TATATACACACACACAAAACCCTCTTCTTTATCTCCCAAATCAAATATGGCGCCGTTGAGGTCAAAGACGTTTGGTCACGAGACACATGGGAACCAATAAGGTTTAACGTGAATGGTGTTAGGCGCCATTTTTGTAGTCCTTGTAGCTGTTGTAGTCCATTTCAGAGCTTCGACCGAGAGGAAAATTATCAAAGTATAATAAATTACATAGCGGCAGATGTAACTTTGGTTTACTCATTTTACAACTCATTTTGGTTTAACTATTAATTTAAGCAAATATGAGATAAAACTGTTCCTTTAATTAGACACGTTCACACGAACGCATAGCATACAATTATGCATTTGCTGAACATGTATGTCTGTGTACACAAACAAGTGAGATTAGTGGACACCCGACACATCCACTGCCAGAGTCAAAAACAGTGAGAGATTAAGCGCTAATCTGATGATGGGGCACTCCCGTCAAATACAATAAAACAAAATAGATCTCCTTTTTATTGAAGGCTGTTGATTAAAACAGCTTAGGCTACCTCACCATACAAAAGCACCATGATCCTACAAATCCACTGAATCCTTGCTCCTATAATGTCTTAAGCACTTTAGACTAGTATTCGTATCCATTTATTAAACTGATAGTGTGTTGGTTTAATAATTGTTAATAAAAATAATTTTTAGATTTAGGCTACGTTAAAAATTCTCTTTTGTATATAGTTTTGTATTCTTTTAATGGCACATAACTGAAATCAGTAGGGGTCTAAAAAGGGTCATTCTACAGAAACGTCCACTTTTGGTATGGCAAGATGTTATTTTAAAATATTAAAAAATTGTAACACTAAATTGTTTTTCAAGTGTAATATCTCTGTAAAGGCTAGGGACAGAAAAGTGGACGTTTCCATAGAATGACCCAAAATCACTAATATCTTATTTTTCTTATTCCTGTTTGACAATATCATGATATCAGCTCTATATAATTTTCTCTCTCTCTCTCTCACCCACACCCACATCT